CCCGATCACTTGATCACCTTTGTAACCGCTCTCTTCTGGTAAATCAATGAAACGGGGCAGCAGGTGCTGGATCTTTCAAAAATATAAACAAAAGGGGAACAACCCACCATATTTCATGCCTTAGGTCGGGCTCTTGTTTTCTTTACTACACGATGATCATAACTAAAAGATAAAACTCATGGGCACTAGCACCCATGGTTTATTGATATAGGAGAAGCATACCTTGTGAGAAACCAGAAATTCGTCCCCGACGTGGCTCGAACCCTGGTTGCTGGAGACGCCACTGCGCTCCCTTGCCACTAGGCTACAGCCTAGTTCTCAATGAGCATAACTAGTGCAGAGAGTAATAACAACAATGTGCGAATGGTCCAGTCTTTATTTTTTAGCTATAATAAGGTTTCATGTTGTCCAAACTGTCATCCATCGGTCGATCACTTGTGGTTTATGAGACCACAGAGGCGGAAAGCCAGGCTACGCCTCGCCAAAGGAGACACGCCGTTGTCGCCGATGATGGACTCGAGGACCGCCTCAGACAGGGCCCTGCTATCAACCCGGCCGCTCTCTTGTTCCGGAACCTTTGTGTCGTCGGAAAATGCTACCTGCAGGTAAACCAGTCAAAACCGAAGCACGAACGCACACACATGGCTATGAAGTTGAAGTTAGTATGTGTGTTGCTTGTGCTGGCCTGTAATACACCGTCGGCAGAATGCGTGAAGAAGATGGTCGAGCCGGTGGGGAACGACGCCGGGTAGAAGATCGCCTTGAGCTCGCTTGTCGCGGCGGAGCCATGGCCTTCGTCGACCGAATAGTGCTCCGAGGACTTCCAGATGTTGACGCAGTTCTCGGTCACCTTGTCGGAGTACTCCTGGCCGGTCAGGGTGTCGACGAGCGTGACCTGCGTGAACTTGTCGAACGGGCCTGCACGGTTGTGAACAGCTCCCATCTCATATTAAATTTAGTTTGCCGGGCGGGGGTGGATGAAGCTCGTATGGTTACCGGCGACGATGTCGCGGAAGAAGTCGGCCGAGCGGGCGAGCTCCTCCGCGGGCTTTCCCTGCCACCTGAGGGTTAGGAACGGCACGGCCGACTGCTCCAGATAGACCCCGATCACCGTCACCAGCTTGAGCGTGCCATGGCGTGGCCCGATGCGCTCCCCTGCACGAGGTTGATGACACAGCTCATGCAAACGCAAAACGGACTCTGAGCTCCAGATCAGTTACCGGACCCTGCCGATGCCAGGAAACAGAGCCCAGGCACGCACCGGCACCACCGAGGAAGAGGATCTTTGATGAGTGTGGGGGCGTCGCGGACGCGCCGAAGACGACTCCGCCAACCTCCATGTCGGTGATCCCGGCGGGAAAGGTGGTGTCTTCCATCACTACGACTAAGTAATTTAGAACAACTCGAGGTTGATGAACAAGGAGCGACACCCACTTCACAGCTTCCTCCTCCTACAGAGCACTGAAACTCCGTTTAAATAGACCCCGAATTGTTCAAGGCTGCCGTACTGGAAACGATAATAGTCAACTGATTGCCCGTGGGGCCCCATTGATTGGCTTTGGATGCACGCTAAAAATGAGATTCCGTTTAATTCTGGGTCAGCTGACGTCATCACACGTTTCACGTACATAATCGGTAGATACACTCTGTGTGAGACGTAACTGAGACTTAGTTACGTCTCGGTCAGCCAACGTCATCACACGTGAAACGTAATTAACCGGTAGATGCACTCTGTGTGATCGCTTCTAGAACAATAATCAAGAAAAATAAAAAATCATAAAATTGAGAAAACCCAAAAAAAACCGAGCAAAAAAGCAAAGATTTTCTAAAAAAATAAAGAAAAAAGCATGGTCATGTGCAAGGGTTGTGGTTGCGTCCAGCTCACTACATGTGCCGACACTCGGGAGCACCACGTGGAGGGCTAGAGCATTCCCACGCCAAAAAAAAACGGGGGCACCCGTGACCCGTCAACAAGATCAATTCACATGTGGTATAGGGGATAGGGACTGTTGCATAACAGTCGCGGCCCAAGGAGCGGGACAATGCGTGCAGGCAACAAGGTCAAGGGCCGTGCAGTCCAAAGACTGGGCAAGGCCCAAGGAATGGCCTAAGGTGAGCTGATCAAGGAGCTGCTAGTCCTACCCAGAAAGCGCGGACAAGGTTGTAGTCAAAGAGGGGAGCAACTATCCAAGCGTTACCCCTTCCAGGGCTTCCGGGAGGGTTACTTTCTTGCATTCGAGCACGCCAAGTGGTGCGTCCAGCCGAATTTTTGTTTTTTCTGTATGACTTTTTGTTTTATAGATGGTTTTTTTTGTTGTTGTTTGGGTTTTTGGTTTTTGCCTGGTTTTCCCTATATTCTGGAGGAAAGAACTATGTTTTTCGGAGCACATATGTGCTTCTCGGAGTAAAAAGGACCGGAGTGAGTATATAAAGACACTGCATAGTCAGACATAAGCTGGTAGGCTAGGTAGAAATCACAAAGGGCAGTCTAAGCGCTTGTGGCAGGCATGGACCAACCAACCGAGCGCGCGGGCTAAGTAGTTGTGAGGAACGACGGGCGTGAAATACAACCTAGCGAACTGATTAATGAGCAACGGTGATCTGAATCCTACCTTTGTGCATACGATGTAGAGGTCCTCGGGGAGCAGCGCATACCTGAAGGGGGCGGCCGTGGAGCATGTCGGCGGAGAAGACTGAGCACTATGTGGCGGTGGTGCCACCGAGGATGAGTAGCACGTACTTGTAGCGGTCGGTGTCCAAGGAGATGGGGATGGGTCGGAGGAGACGGCGAGGAGGAGGGCGTGATGGTGAGTGGTGGACTGTTGGGGCTCATGAGGAGGCATGAGAGGCGTCGGGGAATGGACAACATTGACAGTGTACTTTGCAGAGATTTGCGCTGGAGGAGATGGGAAAGGGGGCAGAGGAGGGGAGGCCGTGGCGGTCATGGTTGGTGGGCTGCAGTGGTAGAGAGGAGGCATTGGGGGCTAACTGCTCTCAGCCGCCATTGCACCAGATCGGACTTCCATGGCTTGCTGGAGAAAGGTCGCGAGGGGATGGATATGGAAGGGGGAGATGAAGGGGCTTTCTCAAAAGAATATAGAGAGAGTGACGACATCTTTTTGCACAAGTGCGAGAGCTCGCCTCGGATGCATTAGATGCAGATCGAACGATCGAAATTAATAGATGGCGGGCTCCTCATCATCATCAGCAAGTGAGGTTTTTTATAGAGAATTTCGATAGGCTTTTCGTTGATTGTGCTATATTAATTTAAGAAGGAGCGTCCCTAATCATGCCAATCTTGACGTCATATTCGTGATTGTTGTTCTCAATATGGATCAAGCGCGCCTCGAATTATTTTGACAGGGACAATGCGAATCGACTAGTGCTCAATCACCACCTGGATCGGAACTTCACAATGGAGATGTTTCGTTATCATGATGAAATCCATACAAAAGGACAAAGTGGCCAAACAATTGCGTGGTGCCGCGAGAACGTGACCCAATAGGTTTCACATCCGTAGTGCAATCCTTGGCTTGTTCCGGGAGCGGCAACACTGTTTCAGAACGTGTTGGTACCTGATGCAGGCGTGCTGATCTCTGCTCAAAATTGATCTTTGGACTAGAAACAACTGGTTTACGCTGCACTAAAATTTGATTTACAAAATTAACGGCTCTAGATTATTTTCTACGTATATCTCTACAGATATTTTCCCGTACTGGATGATTTTGCCAGGTCGTCACTTGTAAGCATGGACATAGTCCTCAAAATAGAAGTTCTTCTGGATGAAGTCAGCGAGCCACCGGGACGCCGCGAAGCAGAGGACGGCCGCCGACACGACGACGGCCCGCTGGGCGACGGACGTGAGCAGCGTCCCCTTGGCCACGGCGAGGAGCCCGACGACGGCGATGGACGCCACCTGCAGGGCCACCTCGAGCGCCTTCATGGCCTTGAGGGCGGCGCTGCAGCTCGTGCACTGCGCGACGTGCGACCAGTACCTGTCCATGAGCTTGTCCTTGGTGGGGGTCGCCGGCAGCTGGTCGACCGTCGGGGCCGCCCAGCCGACCTGGAACTTGCAGTACCTCCTGAACCAGTTCCTGAAGGCGACCACGGTGCCGTCCGACGATGTGGGCACGTACACGCTCTTCTGCCAGTTCTCGATGCCCGCCTTAGCGAAATTGCGCTCCTGAAACGACCCAAGAAGAGAAGAAGATTTGGTTCACTCATCAATGGCCTGAATCGGATCCGGCAGAGTCATGACCAAGATGGCGTTGACGCCGATGTGGTCGAACCACCGCGGCGTGATCTTGTGCAGCCAGAGGCCGAAGTTCCTCGGGAAGGCCCACATCACCCTGCTCCTCCCCGGAGCGACCGGGACGATGATGAACACCAGCATGATGTGAGGCTTGTTCTTCTGCGCACGGACCAGGAATGGAGGAGGAAACATGTGCTCAACTGCTGATCCGTTTTTGACAGGGGAGTAACGAAGGATGAACTGGCCAATTCTTACTCCCATCCCACGTACGTACCTCTGATTTCTTGGAGGCCGGCGATCCGTAGTACGTGCAAGGCGCGACGAAGTTGGAGTAGCCGGGGCCCTGCGACGACGCGAACCCGTTCACGCTCGAATCCTCCACCTTCACCGCCATCGGCACACCGCCTTCTTTGTCGTACTCCACTGTGAAGAAGAAGAAATGAAGGTTCGTCCCGGTTAGTGAAATTCAGGAAGCATGGTGGATCATTTGAGTATGAGGGCAGGGACATATCTGCCAGGGTCTACAAGCCGGGGGAGGCCAGGAGCAAGCCTTTGTGCGCGTAGGGCACGTGAGAAGGGTCCATAAGATTCTCTGCCAAGACGTCGTACCTGCAAAATGTGGCGCAACTTCCGTAGATCAATGGAGGATTCAGAAAAGAAAAGGAACACGATGGAGCTGCGCGCGGTAGACTTACCCGTAGGGCATGTCCCTGACTAGGAAGGAGGTGACGAAGGCGGGGTCGTCGATCTCCGGGATGAACGGCGGCGGCTTCCTCTGAAGCACGTCCCTGTGCTCCGGCCCGGCGCGCGGGTAGAACCACAGGATCTTGTTCTGCACACGCACGGGTAGGACGCAACGCACGCCTTGCAGGCGCCGCGGCCGTCGAAGCATCACCCGTGGTACACGCACTGGAGCCGGCCCTTGTCGTCGATGCGGCCCTCCGAGAGCGGCGCCAGGCGGTGCGGGCACGCGTCGTCGAACACGCGCCACTCGCCGGCGCCGCGGTCGTACCAGGCCACCACGCGGATCCCCAGCACCATCTTGCCGTGCGGTGCGCCGGGGTCCAGGTCCTCCACGGGGGCGAAGGGGTACCACTGGTCCAGCCAGTCGAACCGCTCCTCCTTCTCCCCGGACGCCGGCTCCTGCTCTGTCCACGGCGACTCGGACGCCACCGCCGACGCCGGCAGCATCCGCGCGGCCCCGTTGCGGTGGCGGCGCGCCCGTCGCCGCGGGACGAGGCGGGGCCTGACGATCGGCGCTGGGACGCCAGCGGGGAGCGGAAGCAAGGGCTGGGCCTGGGCGCGGGAGAGGAGTAGGCGGAGGGGATCCATGTCGCCGGTGGTGACCAGCGGGTGATCGACGGCGTGGATGGAAACGGGAGGGCTTGAGACAGGTGGAAGAACGTCGAGCAGTCAGCGGTGGACTCTGAGCTCCAGATCTATTTACCGGACACTGCCCATGCTAGGAAACAGAGCTCAGGCACGCACCGGCACCACCGGGGACGAGGATCTTTGATGAGTGTGGAGGCGTCACATAGCATACCTTGAAAAAACAAGTTAGACGTCCTCTAATTGTTGTTTGCATGTTTTACCTGTCTGCTATGGGTTTCTAGCAAGAACGTTTCTTACCTACGCAAAAATCACAACGTGATATGTCAATTGCTATTTACCCTTCATAAGGACCGTTTTCATTGAATCCGATCCGACTAAAGGGGGAGAGACTGGCACCCGCTAGCCACCTTATGCAACAAGTGCTTGTCAGTCAGTGGAACCTGTCTCACGTAAGTGTACGTGTAAGGTCGGTCCGGGCCGCTTCATCCCACAATACCGTCGAAACAAGATTGGACTAGTAACGGTAAGCATATTGAACAAAAATCAACACCCACAACAACTTGTGTTCTACTCGTGCATAGAAACTACGCATAGACCTAGCTCATGATGCCACTGTTGGGGAACGTAGCAGAAATCAAAAAAATTCTACGCATCACCAAGATCAATCTATGGAGTAATCTAGCAACGAGGGGAAAAAGAGTGCATCTACATACCCTTGTATATCGCTAAGCAGAAGCGTTCAAGTGAACGGGGTTGATGGAGTCGTACTCGTCGTGATCCAAATCACCGATGATCCTAGTGCCGAACGGACGACACCTCCGCGTTCAACACACATGCAGCCCGGTGACGTCTCCCATGCCTTGATCCAGCAAGGAGAGAGGGAGAGGTTGGGGAAGACTCCGTCCAGCAGCAGCACGACGGTGTGGTGGTGGTGGAGGAGCGTGGCAATCCTGCAGGGCTTCGCCAAGCACCGCGAGAGAGGAGGAGGACTTGGGAGAGGGGGAGGGCTGCGCCAGAACTTGGGTGCGGCTGCCCTCCCACCCCTCCACTATTTATAGGTGGGGAGAGAGGGGGGCTGCCCCCTAGATCCCATCTAGGGTTGGGGGCGGCGGCCAAGGGGGGAGGAGTGCCTCCCAAGTCAAGTGAAGGCCCTCCCCTTTAGGGTTTCCCCTCTCCCATGCGCATGGGCCTTGGGGGGGCTAGTGCCCCTGGCCCATTAAGGCTAGGGCGGCCCCTTACAGCCCATGTTGCTGTATTGGACGTGGTGGAACATTTTCCGGACCTCCGGACCCCTCCGGAATCCTCCGGAACCTTCCGGAAGCTTCCTGGTACAGTACCGGAAAAAACCGAACTTTTCCCGGAACCCGAACACCAACTTTCCATATATAAATCTTTACCTCCGGACCATTCCGGAACTCCTCGTGACGTCCGGCATCCGAGACTCCAAACAACATTCGGTAACCACATACAAACTTCCTTTATAACCCTAGCGTCATCGAACATTAAGTGTGTAGACCCTACGGGTTCGGGAGACACGTAGACATGACCGAGACAACTCTCCGGCCAATAACCAACAGCGGGATCTGGATACCCATGTTGGCTCCCACATGTTCCACGATGATCTCATCGGATGAACCACGATGTCGAGGATTCAATCAATCCCGTATTCAATTCCCTTTGTCTAGCGATATAGTACTTGCCCGAGATTCGATCGTCGGTATCCCGATACCTTGTTCAATCTTGTTACCGGCAAGTCTCTTTACTCGTTCCGTAACACATCGTCCCGTGATCAACCCCTTGGTCACATTGTGCACATTATGATGATGTCCTACCGAGTGGGCCCAGAGATACCTCTCCGTCACACAGAGTGACAAATCCCAGTCTCGATTCGTGCCAACCCAACAGACACTTTCGGAGATACCCGTAGTGTACCTTTATAGCCACCCAGTTACGTTGTGACGTTTGGTACACCCAAAGCATTCCTACGGTATCCGGGAGTTGCACAATCTAATGGTCTAAGGAAAAGAAACTTGATATTAGAAAAGCTTTAGCATACGAACTACATGATCTTTGTGCTAGGCTTAGGATTGGGTCTTGTCCATCACATCATTCTCCTAATGATGTGATCCCGATATCAACAACATCCAATGTCCATGGTTAGGAAACCGTAACCATCTATTGATCAACGAGCTAGTCAACTAGAGGCCTACTAGGGACATGGTGTTGTCTATGTACCCACACATGTATCTGAGTTTCCTATCAATACAATTATAGCATGGATAATAAACGATTATCATGGACAAGGAAATATAATAATAACTAATTTATTATTGCCTCTAGGGCATATTTCCAACAGTTATACCCCATGGCCTACCCCCTCTAGGTGTCGAACAACGCCCTAGACCGTCGGGGCCACCGGAGGGGTTTCGGTCTCTAGAACCGGGCGAGGCCCATCAGAAAAAGAAAACACAAGACGGTAATTATGATGTGCTAAGGTTGTTTGCCAAGCATGGAAGAAAACAAAAAAAGTATAATACATATTATCGAGAATGCACAAGAAGGAAATAGATCTAGGTTAGATGCTTTACCGAGAGGTTGTCTTGAAAAAGGTGGCCATTACTGAGAGCCGATAATCTACCCTCGGTAACCACTGCTCTAATTTTTTTCCTTCTCTTTGTATTTTTGGTTGGCACTATATTTTTTGTATCTCATATTTCATATGTT